TGGATTTCCAAGGGAGAATAGCTCGCTGGCATTCCTTAGTTGCTTGCTCAAACACTAACTGCTGAACTAATGGCATAGCTTCTTCCGCAGTTCCAAAGATTTTTCCAGCCGCCTCTATCATCCGTGCAACGAATTCGGAGAAAGGCTCTGTGGTGCCCTGAATAATTTTAGTTAAATTTCCGGAAACTTCACCCTTTTTTGGGAGGGTTTTCCAAGCCTTGAGGTTAAGTTCATTTATTTGGGTATACACTTGTAATGGATATGCAGTCTGATTAGCAGCCCACTGACCCTGTCCTAAAAGCATATCGGCATTCCATGTGGGCTGTTGATGTTGTTGAATATTAATTCTAGCCTGGACATGAGCCAGATCTGTGAGAATAGATTTGTAATCCAGATACTGGCCTGTGGAGAGGCAGGCTCTAGCAACCTCCATCCAGTCTGCAGGCGTCATAGCCTGTGTAGTTAACCTAGTCAAAAGGGTTTGGGTGTATGCAGCTCCTGCTCCGTACGTTTTCGCTGCAGTCACCAAATCCCTTAGTTGCTTATAAGGGATAGGCTCATGAAATCTATTATTTGTCTGTGGGTCCTGAAAAACAGGAAACGCCGCAGCTAAGCGCGACCATGTTTTTCCCTGTATGAAATGACAGCTACCTACTTCACTCGGAGCCCGAGTGTTATACGGCGGAGGACTCGACTCCCAGGACTCAGGCGCCTTAAGTCCTGGGGCCACCTCCTTTTCACGGGCCTTGTCTGCCCGATGTCCGGCCGCATCTCGCGGCGTATCAACTTCCTGTTCTGAATCACTATCATCCTTTGCCCATTCTTGGTCTTCTTCTGAGTCTGATATTCTAAGGGCATTGAACTCATCTAAGGTTGGATATAGAGGAGCCGACAGTGCCTGCTCTCCTTTAGTGGCACTCGGTCCCCTTTTTGTCTTTTCTTTCCTTTTCTTTGTACCTAGGTCTTGTTTTTTCTTTACCGTATCTTCACATCTCTCTGTTTCTGAAAGGCTATCTTGGTAGGAGGCTAACACCCTGCGTCCCTGGCGAACCACGTCAACACTCGCCCCATCCCGGAGGCACGACCTGATCAATTTCCACATGGGATAAGTGCCTTTACCTATTGTTCCTTCCTCTTTAGCCCGATCTAGGTCTCGACCGAGTTTGTCCCAGCACGGGATCGTGAGGTCCCCAGAAACCGCGAACCACGGGGCAAGGCTATCAACATCCTCGAGGACTTTGCGGACTGTGGAATCTTTAACTTTAAGGTCCCTCGACCTCAGGATCGCCTGAACCGGGGCAATAAAAGGCTCACAACTAATTCCCTGAGTGTTGCCCATGGTTGCACACTTATCTACGTGAGACTGATCCACCGGGAGCAAAGTGATTTTCAGTATGGCTGTTTTTATCACACCAAAATAGCTTTAGACAGAAAATTGATCCAAATTACACATACCTGAAGATACTTACCGACGTCGACCGCTTCCTGTGTGAAGTTCTGAATCTTCTTAATACGGCCCCCCACTGGAGTTCCTACTGATGCGTTCCCGGGTTTCGGCACCAGCTGTTGCGACCCGCGTCCAGCGCGGAATGAAACACGAACTCAGGATTCTTCTTCTATCACAGTTTATTGAAGCGCTGCTTGGTTTGAAGATGATCTGAGGGTGAAGGGCCCCGAAAGGAGAACGGCGAGCATATTTATACACTAATCAAGGGGCGTGAACCCTCATGGTCTATGTGGCAGATTTGGATTGGCAGTGGCATGTTGCTGGGCAGACTCCGGCGAGTGGCCTTGAGTCAAAGTTGTTTGTGAGTGCGGCGGGCCGGAACTCGGCGCCATCTTGCAATGGCGACTGCTTAGCTGCGTTCCACACAGAATAAAATCTGATTTTCCTTGTATCAGACTGACAAAAACATTAAGGATAAATAATATCTACGGTTGGGAAATGTGAAGAGCAATGGGCATTGCTACTGCTCTTGACCTGGGGCCAGGTTACAATTTGACAAAACCAAAATGTAAATATTTACACAAGTGACTCAATTGTATTCCAAGGAATCTAATTTACCAAAAAGCTGGGCAGATGATGGGGAAAAATAGTTAGCTAATTGAGAGTAAAATATATGGTCAGATAGAGACCTATTTTTTTTTTTTTTTTGCATTATTTGTAGTAGCACCTTAGAACAACCCCAAAGTCCATCACTGGAATGAATAAATAGTTCGGTCACATAATGAATACTATACAGCAATAAAATAAACAAATATTGCCATAAGCAACAACAGTGATCAACCTCACAAAGAATGTGGAGCAAAAGAACACACTGTATGATGCTAGCTATAGGAAGTCCAAAACTAATCTCAACTGTTCCAGGTCAGGATAGTGACCCTGGCTGGGGCCTGGAGAGGGGCCTTGGTAATGGCCTGGCTCTTGCCTTGGGGTGGGCCGCGCAGGCTTACTCTGTGAAAATGCCTCAAACTCTACACTTAGAATTGCGCACTGCTCTGAATGTATATTATACTTTAAAAGTTTACTGAAACAGGCCATCCCAGGTGGCGCAGCGGGTTAAAGCACAGCACTGAGAAGCTAAAGCCACTTCCGCACGAGTTAGATTTCCGCCTGCCCCGGAGGTGACCACATGGTGCGGCAGACCTCTCCTGACCCGCCCGCTGCTCCCCTCAGCAGTGTACTTCGTCGCTCTGCCTGTTCTGCTCCCGACTCTGTCTCTGGTGAATCTTCTCACCACCCCTGCACCTCTGGCCTGTGCCCCAGTTCTGTATGCACAAATAAATAAATCTTTTTTTAAAAAAAAGTTTACTGAAACAAAAGCATACTCCAATAAACATTCCAGCTAGCCACACACAAGTAAAATATATACATAAACACACCTTCAATTTGAAAAACCTAACATTGAGCGTTCCGCCTTGAGTACCAACATGAGATAAGAATAGTAGATTGTTAGGAACAAACAGAAAACTACACACTACTTATATGTAATCTGACCCTCTCCTATTGACAAATGTATATGGTGTTTGTCTGGGAACTTATTATCAAAAATGTTATACGAGCACAGAAAATGGCAGTGACCTTTAAAAAAGGTCATTGTTTCCATGGATTAGAACTCAAGGAGCTGGGTCTCTTCACTGAAGCCTTTCCACTATTAATGGAAATAGCCAGATTCTGCTGCCTATCATTACAAATGCTAATGAGCAGAGACATGAATTTAATCTATAAGAAGCACTTTATTTCTCATATCGCCAGCAATCTGAGAGAACAGTGGGCATAACATTTTGAAGAAATTATTCTGCTTTCTTATCTCAAGTTGGGCTTTTTTTATAATGAATTAAACAGTTAGTTACAAGTAAGTCTTCCACTAGAACAGTTTGTCATAGTTGATGTTTCTGGTATTTGTTACATTCAGTCCTTAGAGTTTATTATCAGCCTCCCAGTTATCTTGACCTTGGTACATCCTGGCCTGGTGAGCTTGGTTAATTTCTGATAGTATCAATGTCAATACTCATTCAAACATTATCAGGGTAGAAATCTCAATTCAAAGCAAGAGTTTTAGTTTAAAGAAAACCACTTGGCCCTCCCTGGTGGTGCAATGGTTTAGGATGCAGACTGCAAGCTATCTGCAGCCACTTCAGTGCAAGTTCAATCCCCAGCCCAGGATCTGACCCACATGACACAGCAGACCTCTCCTGTCTCGCCTGCTTCTCCCCTCAACAGTGCATTTTGTCCATCTGCCTGTTCTGCTCCCCACTCTGTCTCTGGTGAATCCTCTCATCACCCCTGCACCTCTGTATCCCACTTCTGTATGCATAAATAAATCTTTAAAAAAAGAAAACAGGAAAAATAAACTTTTTAATAAAAAAAAAAAGAAAAGAAAACAGGTCATCAGCTATAGTGTCTGTGCAGTCTATGCTAGGTATGTATGTGCAGATTCCTGTAGTAGGTGTGGTGCTCTTCCTCCCTAGCTCCCTAACACCAGCAGGGAATTTGATCTACAGATGAACAGAGCTGGACCTGGCCAACAAGCCAGAGAGGAAACTCAAGATCAGGGTCTCTGGAAACACTGTGAGAGGTAAGCAGCATCAGCCCCCCCACCCCCCTCAGAATAGCCAGGTCAAGGTCTGGAGGAGAGAAGCCAGGGCAAGTATTCCTGTGCTCAGGAATCCCAGTCAGGGTGGTGCACCAAAGGAGAACACAACCCTATATGGGGTCCTCATTTAATTTTACAACTCTATGAAGTAGGTATGATTATCTCCATCTCTAGATCAGGATCCCAAGATTAAGTAATTTTCCCAAAGTCACAAGTAAACAGAACCACCAGATCTTGAACCCCAAGTTAAAAATTATCTGAACTCCAAGTTAGGAGATGTGCCCTGAACAGGAGAGGGGGGTGAAGACAACAGAGAAGAGAAGGCTTCCCTAGGCAAAGACTCAGACAGCCAGTGCAGGAATCTTTGCAAAGCTCAGAACCTCAGAAGTCCCCGACCTACCAAGAACTGCAAAAGCAGCTTCTGCCCAGAGCCTTCAGCCATCCACACAGCTGGGCGCCTCTAAGAGCTCAGCCTCTAAGTCTGGCCCCCAGGGTCACTGACACCTCAGGATAGCTCCAGCTGTTGGCAACCTGGAGTCTGGCAACACCCAAAATAGATCTCAGGAGTGAAAGCCTGCTCAGTCTCCTGCGCCTCCACGATCACCCCTGACCCCCTCATTCCTTTTCCACCTGTCACTGTCCCAGCCCCTGGGTTCTGAGTCACTCAGAAAAGGGCGGGGCAGTGGGGCTGCAGTGGCTGGAACAGCTTGGGTCCTGGATTCAAGGCCCTGACATTTGAGCCAGATATGACAGTTTAGAATAAACACATTCACCTAGTATTGGGGGTAGGGGCGGGGAGCCATCCATGGTTGGGAGCATACTATGAGTTTTATTCAGCCTTTCTACTTGAAGGGGGTTTCTGTTTTACAGAAAAAGAAAATGAGGCCCAGAAGGAAAGAAACTTGCCCAAGGTCACCCACAGCTTGGACTCCGGATCCAAGGAGGACTTTGATTTTTATCCTAACCCTCTTATGCTTTTTCTATGTGATCTTGGGCAAGTTATTTTTACTTCTTTTTTTTTTTTGTTAAAGATTTATTTATTTACTCATACAGAACTGGGGTACAGGCCAGAGATGCGGAGGCTGAGAGAACCCACCAGAGACAGAGTGGGGAGCTGAACAGGCAGATCTATGAAGTACACACTGAGGGGACCAGTGGGCGGGTCAGGAGAGGTCTGCCACGCCATGTGGGTCACCTCCGGGGCAGGCGGGGATCGAACTCATGCGGAAGTGGCTTAAGCTTCTTAGTGTTGTGCTAACCCGCTGCGCCACCAGGGAGGGCCCTATTTTTACCTCTTGAGCCTCAGTATACCAATTATAATGATGCCATTGAATCAATATCCCGCTTACAAAAGTATTATGAGGATTTAAAAAGGTAATGTTAAAAGTCAGCATATCAGGCCCTCCCTGGTGGCTCAGAGGGTTAAAGCACAGCACTGAGACTCTAAAGCCACTTCTGCATGAGTTCAATCCCCGCCTGCCCCGGAGGTGACCCACATGGTGCGGCAGACCTCTCCTGACCCACCCGCTGCTCCCCTCAGCAGTGTGCTTCATCCATCTGCCTGTTCTGCTCCCCACTCTGTCTCTGGTGAATCCTCTCACCGCCCCTGTACCTCTGGCCTGTACCCCAGTTCTGTATGAGTAAATAAATAAATCTTTTTTAAAAAAATCCTAAATTAAAAAAAAAGTCAACATATCAGGTACACAGAAGGTAATTCAATTACCTGACCAATGAGAGGGTTTACTTGCACCTAAAAGTAGTGGTGCGAGAGAGTTTTCACCTTTTGCTCGATCCAAGAGGTCTTCCTGAGGATGTTTCTGTTTCATTTTAACTGAGATGCATGTGGAGTGGAAGAGTGGTGAGGTGGAAGCATGGGCTATTTGGGAGAAAGTGTAAAAAAACTGAGCTAGAGCGAGTCGCCTCAGTCTATGGGGGGGTCAGATCAGGTCTAATCCTGGGCGGGCCTCCAGACCTCGCTCTCAGAGGCTGTTCCAACAGTCTGCTTGGGCACCTTAGATGATAAACAGGTTGTCACCCTCTGAGTCCCAAGTGAACCTGATAAATCCTGGCAAAGCAGAGAAGGAAAGAGGAGGGGCATCTATAAATACTCAGTGACTCAGGCTTAGTGCAGGGTCCCGTTGAAAGCGCCCCTTGTGTTTACAGCTCGGCTGCTAGGGGAGGTGTTCCAAGCCAGGGAGGGAGAGCTGGCCACCCCGAGACCTTAGACTTCCTGATTGGCTCTCCTGGGGCAAGTCTGGGCTCTGGGGCCCACCCCAGCATGGCTTGGTTTACTGTCCAATCCACTATGGGACTCTGAGAAAAATGGGTTTCCTGTCACCCAGGACATGGAAAGTGGTGGCTGGTGGGCTGTGAAGTAGGATGACCTAGTGGCTGGACACACTGTTTTTGGTGCAAGAAATACGCAGGCTCAACCCCTGTTTCACGCCTTAACTTCTTATGTGACTTTAAGTTCGTCTTTTCATTATCTGAATCTGTTTCCTGAATTAGAAAACTATAAAATAGTAATAGAAACTTCTTAGGATTGTCATGAGGATGGAAGA